ACAAACATGCACAAAACTATCATATATATGTCTTTGGTTGATGAGTGCCAAGAGAGCAAAGAAGGGACGAGATTGTCAAAGCGTTAAAACACGCCAACGCCAGGGAACGGCTGGCATCGTCCGGGCGTTAAAACACGCCCGCGCCAGTCAAAGAGTTAATAGTGGCTACACTGCTGTAGAGACACCATGCAACGGAACCAAATAATGTCACTTACACCACACGTTAGTTACATACCTACCTTACCTCAGAGCAAATGGACTCTCCCTTCCCACATCACGTGCATGCGCAGTGACGAGAAGAACAGAGCCTCGTGTTAGCTGGCGGTCTAATGTAGTGTTGTCACGATGTTTTCGAAAGAGGAACAATGGAGTTGGATAAAGATTGAATGTGCCAGAGGCCGTACAGCAGGACAGTGTCATCAAGGTCTTCAAGAGGCTTGTGGGGAATCTGCATTGCCTTACAGAACAGTGGCAAGGTGGGTAAAAGCCTTCAACGAGGGACACCAAAATGTGGCAGACATGCGTCGGCCATGTCGTCCTAGTGTCAGTGAAGAAGAAGTGTATGCTCTTTTCCGAGTAACTGGAGAGTGATCGACGCCATGCGATTCGTGAGGTGGCCCGAGAGACAGGATTAGCGCATGCAACTGTGCTTCACATGTGCCTGGGCATGAGAAAAATTGCATCACGATGGGTTCCGCATGATTTGACAGAAATGCAGAAATGGCTACGATACGACGCTGCTCGTAACCACTTGGAGCGCTATGAGCACGAAGGAGAGGCTTTCTTATGCCATATCATTACACTGGATGTGACATGGGCCAAATCATATGAGCCACAAATGAAACACCAATCAAACGAATGGTGTCGTTATGGGTCACAACGAAATTCAAAAGTTCATCAGAACCCCAGCAGTCTGAAAGTTATGGTGATTCTCGTGTACAACTGTGATGGTGTTATCCTAACACATACCATTCCCCGACAGCAGACTGTCAATGCGCAGTAGTACTGTTCATTTTTGGAACACAACCAGCAACCAGTTTTGAGAAAGAAGCAGCGCCACTTTCTGCAGAACCCATGCATTGTTTTGCAGGACAGTGCTCGGCCGCATGCAACGCAAGCCGTGGCTCATTGTTCGATCAATGGGGCTGGGAAGTGCTGTACCATCCACCATACTCCCCGGACTTAAGCTCTTGTGACTTCAACTTGATTCCTAAGATGAAGGAACCACTTCGTGGCATTCGCTTCAGAACTGTTCCAGAGATTCTTCAGGCAGCAGACCACTCCATTGGAACTAGCAACACAACAGGCGCTGCTGAAGGTATCCTACTACTTCCACATCGCTAGCAACGGGTTGTACACAATGCTGATGACTACATTGAAGGACAGTAAAACTTCGAAACATGCATATATTTTGTATCAGTTGTAAATAAATAGTTGCCACTATTAAAGTTCAAACCCTCATATATAAAAACTTCCCAAGACTGAATTGCTGTTTAATTTTTAACAAATCTGCAGTAATGATGTGGCGGTTATACTTTGCCTCCAAGGTTAATGCACAGCAACTACATTTCATAAGATAAGGCTTCTTGTTCTGTGTTATATCATTTATGTTGCTAAAGAATGTTAGTTTTAGAGGCAGTCATCTTTACCAATGGCCTTAGGACAACTCATTAGCATTTTAAAAGAAACTAAGAAACATGCTTATAAGTGTAATTATCTAGTAACAGAGTACAGCAAGGAACCAGTACATAAAAGTCAGTGTGTTATCAATTGACTTTCATTAACATCATCATCCAGTAAAGCACTTTTTGTAATTAAAATGAAACTGGTGATAACAAATTTAAACAGTATACTTTAAAAATACCTACATAACTGAAGATCTACTGTATACCAAAGACATTGCTGGACATTTTTGTGAATGAGTTGTAAAAGTGTGTCCAGAATTGTCAGAAAAAAAAGTTTGTTGAAATAAATAAACAAGAATCTTGCTGGTGGTAGATGTGTGAGAAAGGTTTGGTACAGTGTGTAGCAAGAAAATGTGATAAATTTAAACAATACACATTGTGAATGCCTACACAGAATTTGTAACTGATGAAGCACAGTATATTGTACTATAACAACAAATGGAAATTGAAGACAGAGGGAAAAGGATAGTAGAAATAACATCATTACTGGTTTTGGGTCATAACAATGAATGTACGGGGTATTAGCATTAGTGTACGCCATGTACTTCTTATGGAACATTAGTTCATAATTCATACTATATACTGACACCATGTGAGGCCTGACAATAAAGTTCACAAACTCACCGCCATGTGCTTGCAATGGCAGCAGTGTACAGAAACCTCATTATGGTTTGATGATGTTGACATATCAGCATTTCACACCTGTGTTGTTGATTTATGGAAGTCTCATTCTGAGTGGCATCTATTATTGTCTGAGCGTGTTTTAATGTAGCAGCACGAGAATGTCAGAGCTTGAATGAGAGCAACAAATGAATATTAAATTTCTTATTAAACTTGGTAAGAGTGGAAGCAACATCAGAGAGATGTTAGGGCAAATTTTTGTCAGATCATGCGTGAAAATCGTAGACTGACTGTCAGGAGCATAGCAGAGAAAGCAAGCATCAACAGAGAAACCGTTAGGAAAATCCCAACTGACGATCTTGACGTGAGGAAAGTGTGTGCAAAAATGGTCCCGAAGGATCTCATTAAAGAACTCTGTGAGGGAGTTGTTAGCTAGTAAACAAATAAATGTGCTGGACCCCCCCCCCCAATGACTTTTCCCTGTTCCCGAAGATAAATGAAATATTGAATGGAAGGCATTTTGATGACATTAATGACATTAGGAGTAATATGACGGCAGCTCTGAAGGCCATTCCACAAAACCAGTTCCAAAATTGTGTTGAAGTGTGGACTAGGCACTGGGATTGGTGCATAGCTTCCCAATGGAAGTACTTTGAAGGCGACTCCAGTGATATTCAGCAATGAGGTGTGTAGCACTTTTACCACGATAAGTTAACGACTTTATTGTCAGACCACGTATGTACTATTGTATATTGCATTGAATATGCTGCAAGTATCAGTATGAATATTTATGATGGAAGTGGTTCCCTGATTCAAGGTAGTTGTCAAGGCATATAGAAATTACCTTAGTCAGAAGAACCAGTGGCTGGACTGAGATATAAACCAACCACCCCCTAAATATGGATCAGATGTGTGGTATTGCCACCAGCTTCTTGCAGACATTGCAATAAATTTCTGTTTCAGACTTACTGATGCCATTCACGTGGTACTGTCTTGTTTGCTTGTAAAATTACTAATTAAGATTTTCATACTGTATGTGCATTAATGTAATCTTATTTCTGCCTTCTGGGAAAATTGCATCTTAATTGCTGTGTCTCCTTGCATATGGGCCCTGAATGAAGGTAATAATGGTATCTGTTGTATTGTATTGTATTGTGCAGATTGTGAGGTCCTTCTCTAGTGGTAAGCGTGAGGGTGGTGACTTTGTGTGCTGCACCCCATCACCTCGTGGAGAGTGGATCTATTGCGTGGGAGAGGACCTGGTGTTATACTGCTTCTCTACGGCTTCTGGTAAACTGGAGCGTACTCTGAATGTGAGTATGACAGTAGATGTTCATATGTTTAGAGCAGTTTCAAACACGTTGCCGCTCTTTCAGTTAACACAGAACCTCATGCCACTCTTGAAATATGGATAATAATTTTATTTGGAAATTAAAAAAAAATATTTAGTCTAATTTCAGTTTCTGTTTGTGGAGAATATTTTTGTTTTAAAAAATCTTACATAAATGGAAAACAGTTTTTACTTTAAAAAATAATTAAACAAATTGAAGGATAGATTCACATTTTATTTCGCCTCAAACATTTTCTATTAATATGCTGTTGAGCTGTAAAACTTAGTGATTTCCAGAGTTCAGCAGTAAAATCAAAATTCTGTGAACACTTAGGGTGAAAATATTGCTAAGTCATTTGGCTCTCACGCCCCCATTTGGATCCTAATACTCCTCCTAGGGGGAGTTTCGAGACACCACTTAACATGAAATATGAGTAGCAGTACCATTTAATCAATGGCTCTGGTATTTTATATGATGAAAGAAGCACGTGAAACTTTAATTCAAGATCTGCCTTTCCATTTCATAGCAACATGTGATAAGTTTATGTAACAGGCATATGAAATATGGTACAGGCATAGATTATGGATCTTGTTAGCCCCAGTGAGGAACAGTTTTCCATTATCTTGACTGCTGATTAGTTTTGGGTTCATAACTTTATACCTGTGTTTCATCACTTATTATATCTTTTCAAATGTTTTCATCTGCTTCTACAAATTCACATAAGTCAGAAGACAAGAATTTTCACATTCATTGTGACCACTCTCATAGATGTCACTGCATTCACTATCTTGGTGACAGTTCACATAATATTTATTTTGTCATCACTGGCACACATCAGGTGAACTTTCAAGTACTTAGCATTTCCATAATTGGGGATGATCATCCCCTGATGAGGAAATAGAGTCTTCAAAACATTGGATATTTACTCTGTATTCACGTGACTGATCACCTGAAAAGACTTCATAGTATGCAGTTGGTGTAAAAACTTCAAAGGTATATGTTTGCATTGCTAGCAGGCATCATATCTACTATTTACTTACTTACTATGGAACTGAGCCCTTCTTGAAGAGCCGCCAAATCTTCACCTACTCAAGAATTTCCCAGCGTACAATGAGACAGTCTTAAGATTTAGTCTTAATAATTTTTGATCAGACCTTAGAAATTTTGAGTCTGCTAAAAACATCATTTCTAGTGCAACAGAAATTATTTTACATGTGTACTTTTTTTTTCAGATCATACATATTGTGCCATGACTGTATCATGTGCTAGGAGAGCAGTTAACCTTTATCGGACGGGCCATTTAATTTCCGGTAGGGGCAGCTGGACGGAGTTTATTTAAATGCCCGCCCTTCTAGAGCAATGAAATTGTAAGCATGTTTCTAAAAATGGTGTGATTTCTACATTTTTTATGATAAACGAACGAAATGAACGCTCCTTTAATGTAGAAAGAATATAGAATCAGATATTCTAATTTACAGATTTTAATATCTGTAAAAAATT